TGCTGATGTGGCGAGTAGCAGTTGATGATGCTGATGGTCTACTGACTTGAAGGTCCTAGCTTAGGATAGCTAGTCAAGGTGATTGGATCTCATGTGGAAACAAGGTAGACGAAGGATTTTGAGAAGCCTCCGAAGATTTATGATGTTTCTGCCATTAATAATAAGAGTCCTCACTCATCTGTCGCACGTCTTCTCTCTGGTTTTTTTTCCTACAGAGCTATGACATTGTATTGTTGTAGTCGTTGTTTTCGTTGGGTAAAAACCGGACACAATGGAACACTCAGCAGTTCATTAGCTGATCGAGAATATCAATGAATCATCAAACGATGACGGTAGCTACACAAGAACGTACTCGGTGCTGAGCAACCGAAAAGATTCCGTAAGAATAAGCGGGAAAAACTCATGGGGAACAGAGCTCGAAACTAACGATCGAAGGGATCGAATTACAACAAAAGATAGTAATACAGAATAAAATACACATAAATACATCACTCTCCAACTTCCCCCTCCCCTTGAGTTTCTAACTATATTGCTTTTTCCGGGTCCATGGTGGTTGGTGGAACCTTGCGAATAACGGTGAATGCGCGACGGCAGCGGAGTGATGGAATCACCGGCATCCTTAGGCTCAGTATCAAGAGTTAGTGACGTCTCATCTTTGGAATCAGCTTCTTGGGCAGCGAATGCTGGAATATCCACGGCCCTGGCAAAAGTGGATAATTTGGGAAGCTCGAAGTTTAGAAGATCGTTGTCCAAGCGTTCGGTTATCGTCGAGAACAGCACGAGGGCGCAGCTGACTGCCATAGCATCTCCATACAAATCCTTTCCACTTCGACCTTGTAAAGCGTGTCTGATGTTGAGCGTACCCGTATTGGAGTCGAAGGTTTTGATTGCGATGGTCAGCGTAAACGGCGTTGTAGACTTCAAATTTCTTCTTCTTGGCTCCATGCCGACGGTAGCACTGAGCTTCATCGGGAGTTTAACGGCGGAGCATCTTGTTGTCAGTTCTAGCGTTAGTGACCAAACGCGAGAGTGGAGTACTCATTTTTTGTTCAAGAAACACCTCCGGGCGAAAGATTATCAGGCGGACGGGCAGGGTGTACAACGTGACACAGCAGTAGCCTCGACAGCGCTTTCATTTCCTTTTTCTTTCAGCCTTCTCTTGAAAATTCTGACGAAGCCTTTAGCAAGTTCGTTTGACTGAGGGTGGAATGG